CGCGGTGGCAGCGACGGCGTGGGCTGGCGAGGCCGCGCGGGCGGCGCCCGACAGCAGCTGGAGGAGCGCTTCGCCGACCTGGCGGTGAGCCACCTGGAGGCCCTCCGCGCGCGGGACGAGCGGGACCGGCAGAACGCGCGGCTGCGCGAGGAGAACGCCCGGCTGCGGCTCGAGAACCGGCGGCTGAAGCGCGAAAACCGGGGCCTCTTCCGCCAGGCCTTGAGGCTCCCGGAGGAGGGCGACGACGGGACGCCCGCAGGCGCGACGGAAGAGGCCCTGCGCCCCGAGGCCGGTGGTGCCACCCGGGGTGCGACAGGCGGCGACCCTGAGGACGAGCCCGACAGCCCCAAGGCCCTGAGGGCCCGGCTGGAGATACTGGAGGCCATGTACCGCCGGGCCCTGCTCCAGCTGCACCTCGAACAGCGAGTCCCGCGGCCGCGTGGGGACGAGGAGGATCGGCCGCTTCAGGAGCCTGAGTTTGCCGTCGGAACCCCGCACCTGGAGTCCCCTAAGCCCTGCCTGTAGCCTGTAGCCTGAGGCCCAACCAGGAAGGGGCGGGGCTCCGCACGGCTCCACCTCCGACGTCTACTGGCTCCCCCCTCCCCCAGCTGTGCGTTCTGGCCTGCGCCCCGTCCGCGGAACCTTTTTAGACCAGTTTACTTTGTTCTCCCGCCCACCCCGGACACTTCCGGGAGCGGCGCGTGGAGCCAGGCCTAGGATGAGAATGTTGCAGGCCCTGGCTATCCCCACCGCCCTACCCGGCCCTGCTGTGTGCAGAGCACCTGCCTCCTACTGGTACCCAGGGGGCGAGGACTAGCATCTTGAGGGGCCAATTTCAAACAAGTCAATCAATACCTCCTAATGCCTAAACGTTTCTTGTATTGGGAAGACCTGCTGTGTTTCTCTTCTTTTGGGGTTCTTTGCGGGATTCACCTTGGTTCTTAGTTCTTCAATCCCCCCAAACCTTCCGTCATTCGCTCTTAAGTGGCCAACATTTTAAGTGTTTGTTTTTATAAGTCAGTATGACTTGGGTTTCTATCAAGCACCACCTTTTATAAGAAGGTCCTATTTATAACTTAAGGATTCATGTCTGCTCCTTCTCCAGAACTTACATATCTAATATATACTGATTTGTTTACTCCAGATAATTTTTGAACTATTGGCTTACAGGTGATCCTTTGAGTTGACAAATAAATATGGTGCATTGAAAATGACGTAAAATCTTCCCCGACTGTTATTTGAAGTGTGTTAAATTTTTAGGTGTGCTTCTTAAAGATATGTACATGTGTGCACTAATATATTTTAATATCTAGTTTGGGTTATCCCTTGATCCCTTGTAAGCTATCACTTTCGCTTTATGTAACAATTTAAAATTTAAGGATTCATCCAAAAATTAAGGCCGATTTTTATTGCTTTTTCAACCTGATTAAAGAATTTGGTCAGTGCATTGCTTATTGGCCATATTTTAATCATTTAAGAACTTTTAAGTTATAGACTACATATATATCAGAAGGTTCAAATCAAAATAATTTAACAGTTGCGATTTCAGTGGTAGGAAAAGGGACTTTTTAAAATCGTCATTATCACCATACATCAATAACACTGTTAAACCGCCTAATTAATGCCTGGTGAAAATGCTGGGTGACAGAGTGTTTAAGTGATGTTCATCCGGGTAAAAGAAGAGTCAAGTGTTTTGTTGATTAGGGGAATTAAAGGTACTATTTATGGCATGGCAAAAGCTTCTGTATACAACATTTATTACAAAGTAAGATGCACCAAAAATAGGTTTGTGAGGTCCTGAGTTTGGGAGACACTTGATATATTTGCTTTATACCTTTTGATGTGTAGTTGTGAATATTAAAATTTTCCCTACAGACGAAAAAAGAAACTTGGTGAGCATATGCAGGTGTGTCAAAAGTAGTTCTCCCTTCATTTTCTAACAGTGAAATGAAACATATGTAGGTGGCAAGAATCTGTAAAGAAGAAAAAATGGGAGCTGAAGAATTTGAAGAAAGAAAACTACCCAAATATATAGATGACCCTTCTGCTACAGAGCTGTCATTATGGGTTTAAATTCATTAATCTCTAAATCTTAGTTTCTCATCAGGAAGATGAACAGAACATGTACCTCAAAATATTAGAAGAATAAGATGATATATGTAAACTACTAAAGGACCATGACGACACTATTGGGTAAGTGTTGGAATGCCAACCCCAAGGTCAGTGGTTCAAACCTACCAGCTGCTCTGCTCTGAGGGAGAAAGATGAAGCTATCTGTTCCAGTAAAGATACACAGTCTCAGAAACTCTTAAGGAGCAATGCTGCCATGTAGACTTGCTGTGAGTCACAATCAACTGCATGGCAGTTGGTTTGTGGGGGGGGGGGGGGTTTAAAATGAAAACGACACCTTCAGAGGGTACATAGCAATGAGATTTTCTATCCAAAGTGAGTTATAAATTCACATTTTACTTAACCATCACCTTTGTTTTTAATGTTTTACATTTGGGAGTACTGGCACAGCTAGGTACCTTTTTGATCAGTTGAGAGTTTTCATTCTTTGTAAACAAATAGAGGAGCTAGAGCCCTATGTAATAAGATGTTAGAGAAAATAATATTAAAAATGTATGCCAATTATGACCATTTTTAAGTATATTCAAATAGGTAACAAAATACTGTGTTCTTAAGTACCTTTTGACACTTATTAACAATGTAGGTATGAGTGACTGTTAAATTTTGTTACATCAGTGGATGAAACAGTTGCAAAATGACGTACCCTCACATAAACACAAAGCACTATTTTGAACATATAGGAGAGGGGTTAACAATTCTGAAATGAAAATGCTCCATGAAAGCTAATACATATCTTAATGTTGATTTCTTTTTTGATAACCGATAAAACATCATGCTGTAATATGGCTGTTATTTTGTTAAGTGTAAATATGCAGCTGTTTTTATGCCTTTCTTCATGTGACTGTTGTTTAAAATAACAAGGCAAATGAGGCTACAGAATCATAATAGAAACCAAGAGTTGACAGGAAGCCTGTTCCTAAGGCAAAGGCAAAAATACAGGCCAACATAATAGTAATGCTGAGGAATATGATCTTCTTTTAAACCTCTATCATAGGAAGTCTGTCGGAATGGTAAGTTTATTTTCCCATTAAGAGGCCTATATTTTAAAGTCTGAGTTTTTATTTTTTGCACCCATAGCAGAACAGATTTAAATATATGACCTTAGTTTGGGGCCTTTATTTCTACACTGTTAACTTAAATTTGAAGATAATTAGTTTTTTAATGGGGCTTATCAATTTAGCAGATATTCAATGTTGTATTGTTAATATTGTGCCGCCTCATAATTGTTAGTATATTTGAGCCTATTGTTTCAGCCTCTGTTGTCAATCTGTCTTGGTGAGGGGCTTCCTCTTTTTCGTTGACCCATTTCTTTATCAAACATGATGTCCTTTTCCAAGAACTGGTCTCACATATCCAAAGAGAGTGAAGTGAAGCTTTTCTACCCTTGCTTCTCATGAGCATTGTGGGTATGCGTCTTTCAGGGCAGACTTGGTTTGTTCTGGAGGTCCCTGGTACTTCCAATGTGCTTTGCCTACACTGTGATTCAATTGCATCAAATCTTTTGTGCCACTTGAACATAAAAATTACTCCCTTTTCCTAGAATAGTGTCTACCACGTACATTTGAATACTAACTCCCTCCCTTGTGTTTGTTATGATTCCCTTTTGCTATTTTTAGGTGCCATCTAGTCGGTTCAGTTCATAGAGACCCAGTGTACAGCAGTAAAAAGCACTGCCTGTTCCTGCCCCATCCTCACAATAAGTAAAATCCCTTAGTGCATTATATTTTCACCTGGCACAAGTCAATAAAAGGAAAACATTTTTATCCCTTGGCTGGAAAGAAATGCTCCATCTATGCTCCTGAGCACACACAAAAGGATCACACAGTTTCTGGCAGTTATGGGATCTTAACGAAATTGAAACTGAAGATAGCAGTACAGAGTAGAAGAAAGCTTGTATCTTGATAGTATCATTGAAACTACAGTTTTGCCATGCTTGGCATGGGAGAACACATTTCCTTTTAAATTTTCTGCCACTTAGGGAATTTTGTTAATAGAAGGTGAACTAGAGTACTAGATGGCAATGAGAACGGAGGGATGCTACAATGACACGCCAAAATATAGGTGAATCCACAAGCTGTGTTGAAAAGAATACAGAGAAGCATACACCATAATTTTGTAATTGACAAGCATACACCACCATAATTTCATATGAAGAACAAAGAGGCAAAACAAGTTTTAAAGTTAGCAGGGGCTACCTTGTGGAGACAGATATATATTGCAACAGGGAGTACGTGAGAATCTTGTAGAAAAAGTCTAGAAGCAAGAAAAGTAGTAAAATATTCTGACCTTTTGTTCTTAAAACTTGAGCAAGCGGTTGGAGAAGGGCTGTGGTGTGGGTCCAAGTTGCGGTGCTGTCGGTCTCCTCAATGTGACATCTGGAAGGACCATTGGAAAAGAATGGACACCCCAAGTCAGAGATACATACATACGAAAACATGCTTTGGAACAATTGACTTTGCACTTCAGTGGGGAAAAGATTCACTTTTCAATAAAAATGATGTTAAAAATTGGATTATCTTTTACTGCATGTCCTGTATAAAATTATATTTTATTGCTGAATTAAATACTTATATTTGCCAGGTAATACTTAATAAAATTCTCTCACCCACTAGTCAATTCTGATGCATAGTCACCTGATAGGGGAGGGTAGAACTACCCTTCGGAGTTTCGGAGACTTAACTCATGGGATGCATTAGAGCTTAACCTGTGAGCACCCTGGTTTGCAAAATGCTATGGATGGCAGTGACAGCCCAAAATCCTATTGCTGAGTCCCCACATAGATTAAGCCTCCATTGAATCCTTTCTGATCATTAACCAAGGATGTAGATAATCTTATTCTAAGGCAAGATGTCTTTGAAAATAGGTTGCCTCCTCTCTTCTCTAGCCAGCCAGGGTGGGGCAGTCTCTTATGAGCTTGGCTAGGCCTGACCTTGATGGAGGTCACCACCCCAGGGGGAGCAATACAGGGCGGGACCGTAGTTGGAAGTCAACTGACCCTTACTGCCTTGGTCAGAAGGTCCTCTAGACCAGCGCGCTCCTCTATCTGTCTCCAGGTAGGTTCACTCACTTGCAGATATGCTCACATACAATGCCTGGTGTGAAGACTGTTACCCATGCTACACCAGGCTTTAGGACAAAATTTCATTTATTTGTAATTAGAAATAAATACTTCACAATATAGAATTAAATATTGTTTTGTGATTAATCACTATACTTTATGTTCAATTTGTAACAATAAAATACTTCCTGCATATCAGATATTTACATATTGATTCATAACAGTAGCACAATTACAGTTGTGAAGTAGCAACAAAATAATTTTATGGTTGAGAGTCACCACAACATGAGGAACTGTTTATTAAAGGGTCATGGCATTAGGAAGGTTGAGAGCCACTGCTCTAGACCAATCTTGTAAACCCTTCTCTTTAACAATAAACATATCCCAATCATGTTCTCCGCTCTTGCTTCTATAATCCCATCTGTAACCATGCTGTATTGATTTGCCACCAATCCTACTTTCATAACAGCTTCCTGTGTCCAGTCATGCTTTTTTCCAAGCTTGTTAGCTGAATGAACCCTTAGATGCCATTTTGACCTCATGCTAAAGACCAACCTCATCCAGATGATGTGATTGTGTCTGTGTTATCAACTCTTTTAAGGCTCAACAAGTGTTCTTTTTAAATTACATTGGAGGTGACATGTCTTTTTTAACCCTAAAGTGGGCATAGACAGCCTCATCTTTCTCCCTTGGATTCACTGGTGGTTTCCAACTGCTGGCCTTGTGATTAACCATCCAGTATGTAAGCACTACACCACTAGGATACTAGATAGTAATATCAAAGAGTATATTTATGACACAGTGATAGTGCATATTTTAAACAATGAATGAAATATAAAACAGTGTGATATTAATTTTATAATATAAATGACATTACATTTGGAAAATCTGCATAAGACATTTCTAGAGTGTTAAAGAACAAAGATGTTACTCTGAGGACTAAGGTGTGAACATCCAAGTTAAGGCATTTCAATCACCTCAGTTTATGTGAAATCTGGACAACAGAAAGACTAGACTTTCGTGAGT